AATATTTTTTTTCGCTTAGCCACCTTAGCAAAATGTTAACATAGGCCAAAAGAGGAAAAGAAATAAAAAATGTGTAATAAATTTAAAAAGAAAACACAAAATAAACAAAGTCGTAAAATAAAATTAAACAGCAATAAAAATGCTATGTTGTTTTCAACTGATTGTTTCTTCAACTCCAACTCCGCCTCAGCCCCTCAATTTCGCTTAGAAGTTCGCGAAGCTTTGAGTATGAGACTCAGTCTTACGCCTTCCTTAAGCTTTGGCTTTGCATCCAAATTGGCGAATTTGAAATTCAACAGTCCATAGAATGTGTTATTATCATTCAAGCTTGTATAAATTGGATAATAATCTTACTTTTTGATTTGGGTTCCGATGCATTCAAATCTATGCGTATTGCAATGAGGGAATTACGTGTGTTCTGTGAGTTCCAGTTCCGCCTTTGGTTACGTTACGATGACACAATTTTGCAAATTTTCCTTCATGACGTTACGCTGAATATTTCCAATCGATTTGCATGCAATTTACAGCTCGTCCGCAAAAAGGAGCAATGACTTATACATTCCGCCGTTAGCCATCATTTATTACATCTCTACGATTTTGGATAAAATCGTTTACCAGTAACTTGGGTCATATTTGTTTTTGTTTTTTTTGACGGAAACTTAAATGGGCGTTAACAGATTTGTATAATTTATAAAATATGCCTTAGGTCCATTCAACTCATAAAAGTTTAATTTATCAACACGTGAGACTTTGCAGTTGAAACTGCCAAAATAAAATGCTCACTGCGAATGATTTGCCAAATTTAAGAAATATGTTTGAAAAAATTATAAAATTTGAGAAAAATTGAAAATATTCATTAGTTTAAGCTTCATGATAACAGTAAGATATGAAAAATCTAAGTTAACATAAATAACCAATAATTTATCATATACAAAGATTCTTCTAGGTATTGTTATTACTAAAGGATAATGGTACACTGCGACCTATAAGACATATTTTGCCTTCAAATGTCTCGCTACATCCGCACAAATGACATGCTAAGAAACCTTAGAATAGACCCGGTTAAAAGAACATAAGGGCAGAAACATGAAGCTCTCCGGGAAATTCGACAGGCTTTATCTTGAACGCTTAAACGTTTAGTTCAGAGATTTCTTTGCTCATCTTCCCTAAAAATTCTATGTAAATAGATGTCTAAAGCATATTGAAAATACCAGTTCCATCCTTAGTGTGAATAGTGATTTTATGATGTGCTAATACGGATCTAATTATTTTTTACATGTGTCTACATTGCAGCATTTGAATAAACTATTTAGCAGTAGTTGTTAGTTTAGTAACATATATATTCTTAACAGATGTATTCTGTTCAAAATTAGATAGTTTGATAACAAAGTTGCGATCCACTTGATAAGTATATTTCACATTTCAGAAAACGCAAGTTAGAAACCGGAACCAGGTCAAACAACAGTTGTAATATATAAATAACTGTGGCTTATATATGGAAATATACTGACCTTAAATTTGCTATCTGTCGACTTCAGCACATTAAAACAATTTTAAAAATTAAATCAAAAACTCTTGGAGGGATATATAAAGGACTTTAAGAATATTGAATATATATATGTATATCCGATAAAAATTTTATTGTTTTAAATTCCTCATTGTGCATTCTTTGCCGTTTAAATCGACTTTAAAATTTGCGGTTTTTCTTCTAAAAACGATTTCCACATCCATTCGGTGTGTGATTTCTGAAATACAAAAATGAAAATTCCTCTTAAATTTTCCCTTTCGCTTTCAGTGGTGCGTGAAGCGAATTTTTAAATCTACTTAAAATATTACAAAAACAAAATGATCATTATTGTTAGAGTAATTGTGATACCCAGCGAAGCAGCACAACTTGTAAAAATAACATTAAATGAAACTTAAACTGTAGTTTAAGTCTGGAGCGAATCTAAGCCAATCGAAATGTTGTTGTTTAATGAATCCGAAAACTGTTCTCTACATCAGTGGAAGATCAAACGTGGTGGGTTTAGAGTGGAACCCATTTCTATATGTCTTTCAAAATTTACGAAGATGTAATTCTTCAATCATATTTGTTTTAAAATATACATAATTAAATAATAATACCTATTTATTAATTTTTTTTTTTTTATGAAACTATCGGTAAAACATCAGCCGATTATTATTATTGTGATAAGTTGCACAAAATTTAAATTTAAAGTTTCAACAAAATAATATATATAAATAAGTGTTTATAATTTTATAAGTAGGGATAAAAAGTTAAAGAATAGAGCTACTCTTTCACTGCCATTCTACGTCTTCCATTGTTTCTTGGTGTTTTCTTGCTCATATCCGTATTTAAAACAAATTAGAAACAATCATAATCATTTGTTAACTTTAAAACGTAATTAGTTGTGCTGTAAGAAACAAACTGACCCATTTCACCTTAAAGAAAACAATGCAATGTAAGAACGAATTTGGTTTCTGTTTCTGATGTAAACAAACGTTGAAAAATTGCATTGCATTTATTATGTGCAAAAAACTTGATGATCGGATTAAATGATCTGTTGTGCTTTTATGTCATAACTAATCACTTTTTCTGCGTTCTGTCGTTCACATTTTCTATGTTCGCTACGTCTACGACAATTAATGCACCTTTACCGAGTAAAAATTAAAAAGAAAAGTTCAACATTGATTTCACTTTTTATCGATTATCTAATTGGCGAACTACATCTGATTACCTCTTAAATGTTGAAGTTGTCAAGAACAAAAGGAAGAATCTTCTAACAATCTTATTAAAACAAAGCTAATCCCTCACATTCCCTGAAGAACAATAATACAAAATTATAAGAGAAGTCTGGAATACCCACGATCAATACTAAAACATAATACTACGATTCTTTGTACTGAACACAAAAGGTACTCATTTTATTTCAAAGTCTAAGTCCCATAATATCTTTAAGGCGAAATTAACAAAATAAAATGCATCTCATAACTCGATTAAACCGATCAATTGCCAAAATGACATAACATCAGCTGCAGTACAAATGTTGGAGAAAAATAAAGATGCAAATCCCCAACAGAAACACAACAAAAACAAACCAGCAAATCCAATTCAAATAGAAGCAAAGTTTCGTGCATACAAAAAAGTCCAACAACAACGTATCAAACATGCGAGAAACTGGGTCAGCATGCCGTTCGATACCGAGCGATTCGATGCCATATGAATTTTATTTTTTGTTTTTTTTTGCGTGTTGGTAAAATGTTTGTTATTTTTGTTTTTGTATCATAGAAAGTGAAAACGTGTATGACGAAGATGTTGTGTGTTGCTACGCTTTGTTGTTGTTGTTTCTCAGTTGACGACGCGCTTCGAATCACATAACAATACATAATTCAGTCAAATATTTTGAAGAATGAAAACAACAACAACAATGACTGCCCACTTTAATATAATACACAATTTTATTCAAAAGCAATAACACTAAAACCTTAGGGAAAAAATTAGTTGAACAAAAAATTGAATATCTGTTGTGGTTTTTTTTTGTCTTGTGTGGCGTTTTGTGTTTTCCTTCCCCTTCTCTTTTTATTAATCCATTGGTATGTATATGTTGCACTCGGCACAGACTTAAGAACATGACTATTTGTTGGGATCTTTTTCTCTGCTTTAATGCTGGTAATTGGCTACTGATAAAAAAGTACTCACGTGCATTATTTGTGGAACTTCAAGCATTTAGCGGTGGGTGCCGTCAAGAGGAGGCACTTCCAATAATAAACTTTACGTTTGCGGTGAGTTTATTTTTTTAAGTGTAGCATAGGTTAGTTATTTGAGCTCATTTTTTGAATTTTAATATTGTTTACTTTTTGTTAGTGTTTTTGTTGTTTTGTTTGACGTTTCGGTGTTAACTTACTATACTTGTTAGCAACTTATTAAACTGGTGGTTTATTGGTATTATTATTGCTGCTTCCAAAAAACTGATGGAAAGTTATTTACGAGCTGTCAAATTCGAAGTTTTTTTAATTAACTTTAATAAATTTGGAATAATAGTATGAATAATTTACGCTCAATCACTTCTCTCTTATCACAATACTTTGCTAACATATGTACAAATATATAAGTAAGTAGCTTTTCAAGCACATTAGTAAAAAGCTTTAAGCATTTACAATTCAAATCATCCTTTTATACATGGTATGTAATTTACAAATACCATATTAAGTTCATCATCACATTTGTACCACATTAATATATGAATCAGTTGACTTTTAAAGTATACTGATTCCCAATAAGTACCAAAGATCTTCAGTGTAACGCTCGGCTTACAATCCACTCTATTTTTTATGCAATTGCTTGTATTAAATTCATTCGCTCACACACTCATAATACTCGTTTTCAAACTCAAGCATTCACTTATTCTAATCTCATCCCTTTGGTTGTTAATCACAAAGACAAACATGAAATAGGAAGAGTAACTAGAGTGGTAGACAGCACCATACCAATAGAAAAGGAAATATTAAACTAGTAACTATAGGTTAGGCATTAACGAAGACCTAAATAAGATTTATCTACGTCATCTGGTAAAACTGTTTCAACGCAAAGCGGATTCCTATTCTTCATTAAAAATGTTAACTATATATGGGGTTATATACACATTTATATATTAAATAAACGTACATATATTAAAACATTAAAATGTATTTGCGTCAGCGTTTTAGGAATTCTGCGCTTTATATATATTTGTAATGAGGTGCAATTCTTGAGCAAATCAATCTTTGTGGACTATTATGAGAACGCTGTTCTCCGTCAAATTCTTCGTCAGTGAATCCCTTATAGTTCTCTTCTGTTTTATCTACTTCTTCCATTTTTTTTTGTTTTGTAATTTATATTAAATAAAAAACTTAAATAGGGCTTACTCATAATTTTTATTTTCTATTCCAAGATTACATCACATTTAAGAAATATTAACATTCTATAAACGTAATTATAATTATAAAATATAAATTCCGGAGTAAGTTTATAAAATAATGTAATCTAATTAGAAAATATAACTTTCAAGGTAGATGAACTATGTTACCAAAATTTTCAATTTTATTATCTTTATCACTGTAATCAGTTTTTGAAAAAAAAACATCCTTTCAATGCAACACTAGCATCGATTAATTTGTAATACTTAAGGCTTTTAGCAAATAAACGATTTATCAACATTCCAATATATAAAATGAGAGTGCTTTTTTGTTTTATAACATTTATCGCCTAAGTCTTTAGTAAGTCGATGGTAATCAGTGAACCATCAACATCAAGAGACTGAGGTTTGTTGTCATTCATTGAAATACTCTATTAAATGTTCAACCCCTAATATTGCAAGGGACAAAATGTGTTGAAGAAAAAGGATCAAAATCCTGAAAACTGTGATTAATAGATTTGCATTGATCAATATCAATATCTGATCAGAGTAGACTATCAAAAAGCACATGCTACAAAAGTATCTGGAATTGTAAGATAACTTTTTAATTTCCCGATAAAACGGTACTCTCTTCTCCTACAGAAGGTTTTATAAATTATTTAGAAGTACAGTTTCGTAATCGATTTCAATTTGTTGGCAGTGTGAGTTATGAGAATAACTTGGATTTACTAAAAACATATTAGGTAAGCCTTGTATTTGCCTTTATTAGCTTTATATTTCTTCATCTCGCTCTAGCTTGGCATTATTTGTTTAGTTCAGATCCTGCGAGATGAAGCTACAAAAGAAAAATAGACTTAAAGAGTGTATAGTTCTGTAATAAGAGAATTGTTACTTACGTTTGAATTCTTTATTTTTGTTTGTGTCTATTTTTATAGTGGCGACTCATTTCCACTTTGTATCGGAAGCGCAACTCGCAACTACAACACTTAAAAGGCTTTTTTTCGTTATGCACATCCCTTGCATGCTGCTTAAGTGTTTGAACATTGGAAAATGTTAAGGAGCACTTCGAACAAATGTTTGGGAAACATATAGTTGACCCATTTTTAAGAAACTCAAGCTTTTTGTAAATGCGAGCTCTTTTTAAAACTCCCAACTTTTTCCCCTTGCTTAGTTGCCTATGACAAAATCGCAATCTTCTAATGAGTCTTTTCACCGCATCTAAACTAGCCTCAGGATCTCTAGCTTCGTCTTTATACATTTCTAATAATTTGTTATAGGCAGTCACTTTTTCTTGATGGTTGTTATACAGCTCATGATCTTGTTTCCACAAACATTCACACTTACGATATAATTGTATGAAACTCTTCAGAAAACTTTCTGAAAATTCATTAAGATCGTCATCCCAATACTATAATTCAGAAATATGTGTATACAAAAGTATTTAGGATACATAGCATTTTAAAAATTACCTTGGATTTACCAGTTGTTTTAGTTCCCTTTTTCTTTAAAAAAATATTAGAAAATGTGAACATATATAAAGATTTAAGAAGAGTTTACATATCTACTTACCGTGTTAAATGTCTTGAAGGATTTTTGTGGAATTGTTTTCTAGAATTTAAAAGACCATAATACATTATATTTTAGACTCTTATATATTTAAAGTTACCTTTGTAACCGTGGTTTTTAAGATCAAAGGAGTTTCCCGCTTGGACTTTACGTCCGAATTGGAATCTGAAACCTAAATATACAATTTATAAGTTACGAATAATATTAGAAACAAAAGGCATTGACAAATGCTAAACATACGTAAGATAAGGAATCTTCTGTATTGTAGAAGCTTTTAGGCTGTCTCCAATCCATGTTTTGTACTACTGGGCCATTCGTGGTAGTTTTGAAACGTATATCAGGTTCAGAATTTCTTAAGTCTTTGGCGTTCATTAGAACTTTCACTTCACTATTTACCACGGCTACAGAGTTCTGAGTCTCATTAACAGTTTCATCCTCAATTAAGTTCGGCAATAATGAAATTGCGTCCTGTTTACATATTGATTCTTGTTCCACATGAACATCACTTGATTTCACTTCATTGCTTATCGGTATAGTAATTGATTTTGTTTCGGAAAGACATTTACAAAAACTAGTGCTACATTCAGGAATATAATATAATATTCCTTCCGTTTCAAAACATTTTACGTCTCTCTTCGCAACATTAGATTTAAAACTATATTGACATGTGGATTTTTTGCATTGTGCTTCTCTTAGTACTTTTTTTGCTAAAAGTGTGGAACTGTGAGAATTCATTTCAGTTTTTCTTAATTGAAATTCTGCACTGCCTTCAGGAGATACACTTAAATTCAAACTACTTTTAGAAGAAGGAACGTCGTCTTTTAGAGGTACTTGTGTAAGCAAATTATTTAGATTGCTATCCTCAGTAGACAAATCGGTTGTATTATATTCTACTGCCTGGAATAAACCAATCGAAGAAGATGACAAATTTAGCTGCGAAGCATCATCAAGTAATTTCGTATTGGACTGCATTTTCAAGTCCCTATTGATTTTTTTGGTCTGCCTTGTTTTGGTGGACTTCGCATGCATTAATCGCTGCTTTCTATTCCTTAAGGGTACTCGAGATTTCTTTCTTCTTTTCGATTTCTGTATGCAAGCGTTTTCATATATATTGCTGCTTGATAAATTATTAAGGATAATTTGATTTAATTCAGAACAGGCTGAGGATGTACTTGCTTCCTCTCCATTTTGTAAAAACATTTCTTTTCCTACTAAGATAGCTGCTTCATTTTCGTCTGAGACAGATAAAAATCCTTCACTAATGACTGCCGTAAGTCTGTTTGGGAAAATATTGTTTTGAACGTTTGTACAATGTGCTCTACTACGTAAATTATATGGTATTCTAATCAATGAGCTTTGCTGTCCCACTTCTTTTGACTTTTTCAGAATCCTGGAAGCGACGCGAGGAGCTTTATATTTTGTTACATTTGTGTTTCGGCGTTTTTGACTTAAACGTGAGTACGTCTTCCTCTTTTTTTGCCATTGTGAAGTGTGATTCTGATTGGTTTTTTTTCGTTTTTTGTTTTGATGATGTAAATGCTTTTCAGTCATATGGGCCCATAATTCGGGGTAGTTAGAGCAGCTGCAATAGCAAAATTGACATTCCAGCACAACGTTTTTCTGTAATAAAACCACAGTTGTAAATAGAATGCAGAGAAAGATATCTAGTGACAACTGTACGAACAATGTTACACCATAAAAAATTAAGAAAACAATACAAATCTGTTAAAAAACTAACATGTATTTCTTTGGGAAAAGTTATAGAACAATTAAAAATCTGTACTTTTGAAAAAGCAGATATAAAGACTAAAATAATATATAGAAATTTAAAATCACCTAAAGACTTATTCAAATCATAACTTAGTTATATATCAGCGAAAAAACTAATGCAATATGAAGACATGACGAATAGTACCGGAATCAACTTTCGGGAACAACTTGTCAACGGTCACTAATAAATATCGTTCAATATACCTACCAAAGCTGCACTGTTTTTCAATCAGGGCTTTAAGGGCTGGATCAAACTTCTAGTCATTCTAAAAGCACACCAAAAAGAATAGCGAGCATAGAAACATATAATCTTTATATGTTAAGAAGATGATCTATTTAATGACACTAAACAAATTTGTGCAAGTTGTTGTGCTAATACTATTCTAGAACGGTAACCACGTTATCTCTATAATCTGAAACAGCGGCTTTATTGATTAAATTTATAATACAGAAATTATTTACCTGAAAAGAGTGTTGATTAGTAGTACATTAATGTCGAAATCATGGGTATTTTATGCTCTATTTATAGGCATGAAGTGATAATGGAAAAAAACTATATAACTTACCAAATTTTTTCGGTAATTATTTGTAATAAAGGACAACTCAGCAAGAAGCTTATTACAGTTGAGAACTTTTTCGACAATATCGTCTTCGCATGTCGATTTGCCCTCTTCTCCAATATTTTTGATTACTTGCTTTATATCAGTCTTAGTAATATTATCATTGACCGATTCATTCGTTTTTTTTAACAGAATAAATTTCACAAGTTCGAGTACTTGCTCTCTAACTGATTGAAATGTAGCAAGGGTATTATGTTCTTTTCTTTTTTTCAGCAACAGGAGGTAAGCATTGATCTTACTTTGTTTATTAAACTTTTGGCGAGCAAACCTATGCCATAGACATGGACATGCCTGCAATAGTTTTATAAAACTCAAAAGTTCTGCTTGTTCATACGTCAAGGACTCGTCCATCTATTTAAATGTAGTTTAAATATCTTAATATTAGTACTCTAAATAACAAGTTTACCATTCCTGAACGTTCTGGTGACAGCTCCATTGCTTCAGAATTATCATGCTTTTTGAAAATTGGACTGTAAACTTACGCTTATCTACACTTTATATAAAATAAAAAAAATTTATTGAAAAAATTAGATATTTTTGAATCTTAATATTTTTGAGACAAACTCGAAGTTCAAAAATAAGAAATGAAATATAATAAACTTCAAATTTTTATGTAAGAAATTTTAGTTTTTCAAGGATTACTTTGATTTGCTTTAAAAATATGAAAATTAATTTATATATAATATATTACTGACTATTTCTCCACCTTTTTTTCACGAGGAGAATTGTGTAGAATAGAGTGGTTGAAGTGACTTGATTTGTAGAAAATATGATCGAAATGATCCAAAACAAATATAACTTTCTAATCGTTGAAGAAGTTTGATTATTTAATTTATACATAATATATCACTGGCTATTTCTCCATGATCCAAAACAAATATAACTTTCTAATCGTTGAAGAAGTTTGATTATTTAATTTATACATAATATATTACTGACTATTTCTCCACCTTTTTTCACGAGGAGAATAGTGTAGAATAGTGTATGATCGAAATGATCCAAAACAAATATAACTTTCTAATCGTTGAAGAAGTTTGATTATTTAATTTATACATAATATATCACTGGCTATTTCTCCACCTTTTTTTACGAGGAGAATAGTTTAGAATAGTGTGGTTGAAGTGGCTTGATTTGTAGAAAATATGATCGAAATGATCTAAAACAAATATAACTTCCTAATCGTTGAAGAAGTTTGATTATTTAATTTATATATAATATATCACTGACTATTTCTCCACCTTTTTTCACGAGGAGATTAGTGTAGAATAGTGTGGATTGATTTGTAAGAAATATAATGATCGAAAACAAATATAACTTCCTCATCGTTGAAGTGGTTTGATTACTTAACATCAGAAACGCATATTACTTACCAGCTTAGTTTAAATAAGTGCTCTTGTATAAAATATTTCAACTTTGGAATTCAAAATTCAGCTCAAAACTAATATAAAATGAGATTATTTTAGCAAAAATAAAATTTAATAACCACTTTTGAAACGTTCGAAAAGTTAAAGAAAAAAATATATATTAAATTCATTTTTCTAGTTAAAATATTAAGCAGCTTGCTTTTCTTTACATAAAATAAACTTTCAAATATTATTTTTTTAAATATCATGTAATGTCAAATATCAACTTTGGCTTGAAAATTTTAGTTACACAAAATACGAAACAGAAAAACAAAATTTGTTCAGGCTAAGGGCTAATTGTACAATTCACACTTAAGTATCGATTGGACACTAGTATTTAAAATCGAACTCTTATGGATTACTCAAGAGTATATTATTGTTGTTGTGGTTTGAATTAGTGCTATTGCGTACTTTTACTCTTTTGTGGCTGGGGGAGCTTACCTATGCCCCACACTAAGCTTTAACTATATTGGAATTATTATCCTTTATTTATCTTTTAACTGAAGGCGGATCGTAGATCAGCATAAGGTTTGTTAGAGCAGGGTTGGACAACGCACCGACTTTCGTGAATAATTTGTGTACATTATTACACTGGACTTAAATCTCGTTTTTTTTGTAAGACATGAGTTATACTTCCAAATGTGAAATCATCTCTTTCTTAACAAGTCGGAAGTTTTTTATTCAGTTTTGATGTATTTTCGATTTTTTTTAAGAATTTATCAATCAATTGTTTAGGTGCGCTAACTCTGAGTTTCAAATTTGGCAGGGCACGAGTTTGATTCCTGGTACTTGCAGTCTCAAAAAATTATTTATGAATTATTAAATACAAGAATTAGCTGACAGCTGTATGGTCAGCCAAAAGTTCAATTAATTAAAAAAATACAAAAAAGAATTTTTGTTGTTGTAGTTTCATTACTTTCCAATTTATATATTTTAATGAGAACGTTTTAAATAGAGGTCTTAACTACTTCAGTAAATGACGTCAACAATTTTTTCTTCCTTTTTTTATCTTTAACATTATTTAAAAAAAATTTAAATACAAATATCTGCGTTTAAGTAAAATACAAACATCTAAGACATTTTTTAATACATTATAAAAAATTTGAATTTTTTAAAAAAATAATATACATATTATAATTTCCTAAAATGCTTACCAAAAAGCTATTGTAAGTCGGACCACTCTTTCGGTAGGCCTAAAAGTTTAAAATTCGTTACAAGAAATCGAAATATGTACAAAATTTTAATTAATCGAACTGGTGTGTGAAAGGAAAAGTTTTTAATTTTTTATTAAAAATTCCGTACAAGCAACCAAAAGACACCCTAGGCAGCCAAAACTCCGCACCATAATCCATCAAATCCAACACCGAAACGTGGAAAAGAAATCGAAAGTGTAGGAAATACGGAATATTAATATAAAATTTAATTAATTATTTAATTTAAATATTAACCTAAAACAAATGGTAAGTATTATTTATTATTTTTAATTTCCAAAAATAAGCAATAAATACAAAAATGGTTAACAATAACTTAAAAATTAATTAATCACGATTTTTATATGAAAGATTTATCAAAGACACCAACAACAACATTAAAATAACAATAAAAAAATTGGAACAATACATTGAAGACAAAATGGAATTGTACAAATTGAAGCATGGAGCGCATATAAGGAAAGGTGACCGGTACTTGGTAGCTTTGATATGGCTTTTTTGTCTTTTCATGTTATTTTCCTAATTTTTATTGCTTCTGTTGACAATTTAAAGACAATCAATTCGGCTCATTTTTTCTAGGCAGACACCTGTAAAAAAGTTTTAAACGATCGTATTTAGGCTGTTGGATAGAGACATATACATATACATACATACTATATATGTAAGATGTATTCTTACATGAATATATTTCTATAACAAATGTTAGTTTTAATTAATATTTACTCTTCAACACAATGGAACAAATTATATTATTATTATTATTAAATAATAGGCTATAAGTGCATCTCGACCTAATAGAATTATTGTGCGCCTAAAGGCCTAACTAAAACAATTCTAGACTATTTATAAATCTCGTAATTGCAGTGGGCTTAATTTTACCTATTTGATTTGGGACTAAGATTCCGCTTTCAAGGTAGTCGAGTCTACGTCTTATCGCCGCTAGACAGTTGCATAGGATATATTCTTATATTTCCTTTTCCTCATGACAGAGTCGACAGGAATCACTATCTGCCGCAGTATACTATAGTATACTGCTTCACTGTGCAGGACTGTCACTCTTGCCTGTAATCAGGAATTATGCATTTAAGGAAATAATTATGCATTAAAATAAATTTATAGTAAAAAAAATAATTGTAATATACACTGCTATTTAACGTTTATTAAAATTTGTTTTATTCAACACTGGTGTAGACGTCCTCAATGTAGTATTTTGCAATCAAAAACCTTATTACAAGAGCCAAATGGAAGTACAAGTCACTACTTATGTTTACAGTAATTTAAGACTTCCCAGTTGTACTAATAACCTCAATATATTCCAAAGGAGGATTGCATTGTCATGCAAATTTATTGAATGACTCATACTCAAATAATTTACACTATTTTTGATACCCTTTTTGTAGTATGACAAATTAATATTTGTCTCTTATGGAACTGAGTCTATTCAGATGATTTTAAAGTGTTCGTAAATATCATATATTTCTCTTTTGATTGCGTTTTAAAAATTATTTGTTCTTAAAAAAAATTGACTCATTTTTTTGATTGAAATTTTATAAAAGGATTAAGGTAGACATTATTTGCAGGAACGCATTAACTTCCAATAGCAAAGTAATTATTTGACTCAGTCATGTTGGGAGAGTAAGACATAAGTTTCACTAAAATTTTTCTTTCATCAATTCATATGTCATAGTATTATACTATTATTAAAGTTTTTGTTTCTTTGAAGATATCATAAAATTTGTAAATTATGTGCTACCTAACCGCACTAAAAACATGAAACAAAAATGAGAAAGAACTTCTGTGAAGAAAGTCTGTAAAGCACTTTTAATGTTAGAAGTCATCACTTAAATTATAACATAAATAATGCGAAATGGAAAATATATATCTTAGTTATAAGTAGGAATGTTATTGAAGTTTACACAATAAATATATCAGTTTGTCTGATAACATCTAAAATATTTTTCACAAACATTACAATAACAAAGATTATTGAACAACATGAACTACATTTTCATTATAGAATATCATTATACTCGTAGACAGCAGCGATTTAAGAAAGAGCTCTGTCAAATGGACTTCATCATATACTTTGATATCTTTCCATATGTGGTAATTATAACCCATGCACACCCATATATCACACTGGCCTTCCAATGGCACTTGTCCTATCACTAATTAGTCTTAACACCTATCAGTCTTCGGTGATATTATTAACACTTTTAATGATGCCCTGAGGGCGGCCCATGTTAAAACCATTCCAAATTAATAATAAAAAAGCGGACGCATAAAACATTTTTATGATAATTATTAATTTATATTGAAAATAATATGACAAATAAATAACGGTTAAATATGATTAAACAAAATAAGATAAAAATCTTAAAAAGACATAAAAGTGCAAAAAACAATAAAAAAGAAATAATATAGCGATGATGTAAGTTTTTGACAGTTTGATTTAAATACAAAAAACTGGACAAAAAATGACACAGACAAAAACAAGAAAATAGCGTGGAATCTATTCTCCTCAAAAAAAAAAGATAAAAAATATTTTTCACTAAAATCTGTTATTCGAAGAAAGATTTATTTTTCGGGCTTTCATCGGGTTTTGTGCTGATCCCATTAGACGCGGCATCGAAATTTCGGAGTTGGCAACACAGCAGCGAACTTGTGTTCCAAATATTAAGAAAATGAAGAAGAAACCTAAAAGCTGCTAAAGAAAAGAAAAAACTTGATGAATACAAAAATAAATAAAAATAAAAAATAAATCAAGACTCACAAAAATAACACAAAATTTACATTTTTTTCATTCCAATTTTTCTTTATTGGATTTTGGATTTTCGTTTGATTATGCGGCCTTGAAAGTGAAAAGATGTCACACTTTCGTTTTTTTATTGCCACCTCGAAGTGGATACACTTTTGTTTTCTTCTTTCTCCCTTTTCGCTTTTTAGACGTTTTAATTTTGTTTCTTTTTTTTATTGAATTTTACATACGTGCTACGCATGCGCGATATTTTTGACTGAGACCAGAATTTGATCGAAAAGTTCGAAAAGCTCCAAGCGAAGGGAGAGGAGAACTTGGCTGACAGTTAAAGTATTTTCATAAAATGATTCAACACCTAAGTAACTTCGAAGTGAAAAATCGAACAAGTTAGGTTTTTTCTCTACTACTTAGTCAGTGACTAAGACAGCCTTCGATTATTGGGGCCAATTAACTGGAAATAGGCATAATTTAAGTGAAGCTGATCGATCGTGAGATACGTCACGTAATATAGTGAATATTGATTTAACATATTTTATCTGAAAATATTTTAATATATTTAATTAAATGCAGAATATACGGAATATAATATAAGAAGGGATGGACATTCTTATCAATGTATCAGTCTTCCAAATAATTTGAAAAGTCGTTGTGTGTGTATTGAGGTATTTTCATTAAATTTTTGATTTCTGGAGTTTGTGACAATCTGTCTTTATAGGAGATTATAGAAAATAAGAGACTTTTCTGCATACAAAATTTATTTCTGTTTAATTACGAAACTAGTATGAAAATGTCTTCATTATTGGATGTATTGGATTATTGGATTATTATTGGATTATTGGATGTAAAGTTAAAATGCAGCGATGGAATTCTTATCCCGAAAAATAAAAATTCGCAAAATGTGTTATTTTAAATTTACTTACAGTTATACTAACTCTTGCATACGTGAATATAAGTTTAAAGTGGCATCAAGCACAAATGCACATTAGTAAGGCAATGCATTGCAATCCAGCCCTAGGCTCTAAACTTTATCTAATAGACTAGGAGACACTAATGTTGTCACATCAATGTTTTTCAAAAAATTTTGTTAAAAGTAACAT